CTGCAGGTGAGAAGAAATGCTACTGGGAACAGAATTTGTGGACACCTGTGTAAATATTATCAAAGCATTATCCTCGTGGGGAAGGCCAGATGATGTGTAAAGGGAAGTCTGCCTCCCGGAGCAGCCAGCCTGGAAGGTGTCAGCAGCGAGGGCAGAAAACATGGTGTGTGTGGTACAGCTGTGCTGGCTGGAGGCAGCGTTGTCACCAAAAGCTTTGAGGAGCATGGAATGGGGTTTTGGTTGTACCACTGTGTGGCTGAAGGCGGCACACGGGGAGCACCCAGGACACATCATAGGACTGTCCCAAGACATTAAGAGACTCTGGGCTCATTTTTGGAATGTGAATGCACAGACTCATCAGCAGACTCAGGACAGACACTGCTGTGCTCTCCAGCTGTCCTGAGCAGCACCTCCAGGGCTCAGGCAGAGGCTGTGGCTGCCACACGGCGCCAGTGGGACCCCCCCAGCTTCCAGATTGTCCCTATGCCATGTAACACCTCTCAGCATTGCTGCACGGGCTCTGGATGACAGCGACAGAGCGCACATCACTCTGGTGCCTGGGCATTACAGGGTGCTTGGCAGAAGGGCACAAAGCCCTCAGAGATGTGGGACTGAGCAGCAAATGGGCTCTCCCTGCCTCCTCCCCAGCTCCCTGAGAGCTGTCCCAGATCTGCTACAAGCACATGGAGTGAGCAAGAGGTGCTTTCCAGGAGTACAACCCAAAGGACAAGCGCCACTGATGATCAACGTGGACTATTTCTAAACTGCCCCCAAGCCGTGGGCAGCCCCACTGACAACAGATCCCTGGAGAAACACCCTATAGGGAAGACCAGCAGCCCTGTAGCGATGGGCACAGACCAGCAAGGAGAGCACCCACGCCATCACTACTTCTGGCCCTGTCTGCAGCTGCTGTGTGGAGCGGGCACTGCTGCACAGCTCAGCTGGTGCCGGTGAGTCGGGCGCACCGTCCTGCTGCTCGCGGGGAGCCCAGCCGTGCGGGGGAGATGAAAGGCAGGCATTGACGTCAGGGCTCTCACCACCCACACACGGACAAACAGACGGCTGTTGGTACAGCCGGGCAGGCTCTGCTTACACAAACACGCTGGCCAGCTGCACGCAGGATGCTGCTGGCCCCAGTTCAGCATTCAGCTCAGCTCCAGCAGAGCAAAGGGGAGCCAATCAGAGCAATGAGCAGCACGCAGATCCCGCTGCTGCAGCCCCAGCTCAGTGCCTGCTCGCTGCACAGCCACAGGTGGCTTAGAGCAAAGCGTGGGCACCAGCTGAAGGCCTGATGCCGTGCATGGCTGCAGGTACCATGGAGCGAGGCCGGCATCTCTGCTCTCTGCACCTGACGAGCATCCTCAGTCGGTTCCCATGGTAACTCCTGGCTTAGAGCCGCCAGAGCTCTGCCTGCACACGGCCACCACCAGCCCTGCTGCGCCTCCTCATGCTGCACTGCTCCCCAGCAGGGTCTTACCACACTCTGCCCCCAGCTGCTAGCACTGCTGCCATGGGAGGCACCTCCCAGCCCCATGGACATCCCTATGGGGACCCACCGCTTCTCCCCATCACATAGAGCTGCTTCAGGAAACAAAGCACAGAAGCAGCCCATCACAAGAGGTAGCAAGGGCAGGGCCAGGAGCACGGCCATGCTCAGCCCCAGTGCATGGTGCACGCTGCTGCACTGAATGCTTTCCTCTGCTGCTCTGAACACTAGGCAGACTTTGGAAAATGGCTTATGCCTCAAAATGTGATATATCGAAGACAGGAGGCAGATGCTCTACCTGCCTGTCTGTGCATTTGTATGCTCTCAGGGGTTGTATCCAACGGCTCAGATTTGGTTTCAGAAGCTCCAACAGAACCAGGAGAGTAATAGAGGTACTGCTATCTTTCGAGAGCTGAAGCTTCCTGATGACACCAACAGTGCAGGGCAAGGAGGAGAGCGCTGGTGAGGAGGAGCTGCCGCAGGAGCCGGTGGGGTGGGATGGAGGTGTTCATCAAAGCAGAGTACTGCACACGAGGAGAAATCCACACAGCAGAGCTGCCCTCTCGGCAGGGACAGACCGCTGCTTTGCAGCCCAGCACAGCCATGGCCACGCAGCAGAGCAGCGCCAGCTCTGCTATGGGGTGAGGATGCGCTGTCACAAAATGGCTGCCGGCCCCTCACGCTGACCACAGGACCGCAGGCCTCTCACTGACAAATTGAGCCTTGCCAGCCCCAGCCATGTCAGCAGCACTGTGGGAAGAGCCCACAGCACAGGAACTTCATCTTCCCAGTGCTTTCCATCCCTCTGCCACAGGGTCCACAGCGAGGGGACACCTCAGGGCACCCTGCAGGCCAAGCACGAGCTCCCATCTCCCTAAAGCCATCTTCTGCGCTTTAACTGGACTGAAACAGCACCATGTTAAGCGTTGCCATGGCAATGGCTGCCTAGGGAAGGGATGTGATGGAGATGCACACAGAATGGCAGAGCACGCTGAAGAAAAGCACTCATGGCCGGACCTCAGAGAGCCTGTGCTGCCCCTCAGCCATCCTGCCCCAGCCCATGCCCTCCACACAGCAGCCACAGGTGGAGGCAGCCATCCCTCACCTTGAGTCCTGGGCTGGGGCAGCTGCAGTCCCAGGATGGAGAGCTGCAGGGTCTACTGCTGGGCCCAGCCTGGCCTCACAGCCCGCAGCTGCAGCACTGGAGCTCTGCTCACACTGGCCCAGCTGTCACCACTGCTCCTGGTGACCCAACGCATGGTTGACAGTTCCATCATGCCAACCTGCAGCTGGTCCCCACAAAGTGGTGGTTTTGCATGTTGAGCTACTTCTTTGCACAGACGGGAGGAAGAGGGAGCACAGAAGGAGTTGGAGCAGGGTGGTGGCTTTCCATGTCCCAGAGAATGAGCAGAGCTATTGGACTCCTCCCCCTGCCCTAAGTGGGCTTTCCCTCTCCATCCAGCAGTGGCTGGCCTTTGTGCTTCATTGCTGACCAACTCCTCTTCAAGCTTGTGGCTGCTTTATAGGGAGCTTCACAGGGTGGATTAGCTCCTAGGAGTGGAATCACAGAAAAAATGAGGTTGGAAGGACCTCTGGAGGTCTCCAGCCCAACCTCCTGCTCCAAGCAGGGCTGGCTGCAGCACTAGAACAGGTTTCTCAGGGCTTGGCCCTGTTGTTCTGAACATCTCAGACTCGGAGATGCTGCCACTTCTCCATCTCTGTCCCTCCAACACAAAACCGCTGCTTTTGTTAGAGCTCCCAAAGCATTACTTACCATTTGAGCACAGATGGGTTTGTTGAGAATTTACAAGTCAAATACTCACTAATTCATTAATTTAAATGGCTCAGTTGGTAGAGGAATGCAGCTTTAACCTCAAGCAGGTTCTCAGATCAGTGGCCATGATTTGCTGGGAACCACAAGTGAGACAAACAAAAATTTAAATGCGGTTTCAAAGGCACCAGCCCTTGCTGTGGAAGAAAGAAGTGGGCTCCCTGCTAGCTGCAGAGTGCAGAATCCATTCAGCCATCATAACTGAGGCAGGATGATGCATGTCTCTAATCTCTCACCCACAGAGCAGCTCCTAATGCACTTCTGCAGAGCTGGCATTAGTCCTGCCCCAGAGGGACAGGAGCTCTCCCCTACATCTGGCTGAAAGCTCTCATTATGCCTGCTTCCTTCCTAAGATGGCAAATCCTGCAGAACATGCACATACTTCATGAGAAGTGCTGAGGAACAGTCATCTCCAAGGACAGTGCTGGCAACACTGCAGCTGGGGATGCCGCATGGCCAAAGTTCTCCTTTGAGGGATCTGGGCACCACAGGACTATAAGATCACTTTTTGCATCTAAAACCCAAACTCGGGTAAGAAGGAGCTGATATCTGCCCCACCAGCCATCCCAAACACCCCCCCACCAACACAGAGCAGGGCTGAGATGCCAAGATGCAGCAGAGCCAACCACAAGGCCACAGAACCGGCACGTTCCAGGGACAGAGCCACTGGCAGCAGCTTTGCTCAGAGCTGCATTAAAATGCATGAGCTGTGCTAGCCCTAATGATGAGCAGAGCTGTCAATGAAGAACTTGTCCCAGCTAATTATCTCTAATGAGGGCAGAGTGTCAGGGTCCCTGGAGGAACTGGGCAGCAGCTTCCCACTCAGCTCAGTTGCAGGAGAGGGAGAAGTTAAGCAAATGTCATTGTGTTGGCCTAGCTAAGAAATCATTAATTAGGCAAATGTGACCTTCTGTGCAAGTTTGCTCTTGGGAACCCGACTTGCCAGAGCTGGGACATGCAAGCAAGTTGGAAACACCCCAGCTTCTGCCACCCAAGCTGTCCCCTGCAGTGCTGAGCCTCCTGCTCAAACGCAGTGCATGGCTGCAAAGCCATGCCACACTCATCTGTTGGTTCAGATATAGACTCAGAGGGCTCCAACACAATTCCAGGCCCCCAGAGCAGCAGACAAGGCTGTTCTTCACCTCAACAACTTCCCTCATCCCCAGCCTTACAAAGGCCATATGCCTACCCAGCAACCTCCTCTGCAGCATCTCTCTGCCTGTCTTTTAGTCAGAAGAAACACTGGGAATTTCTTCTCCCCTGTGGTGCTTCATTTCAGCACAAAAGGAAGCAGCCACACACTGCTCTACATGCCACCTTCTCTCTCATCATGAGTGCTATGGCTCAGAAACCAAGGCAGCATACTTGTCCTTACGTGCTACAAAGAACATGCCTCATCCCCAGACATGGCTGAGGCAGAATCTCTTACTGCATGCAAACTACAACTCACAGACCAAGCTTACACAAAGGTGCATCCTATAAGCTCTGTGCCTGTCCCTCACCTCCAAGCTGGGGGGCAGAGGAGGAGAGGCCAGGGAGCAGACACTGGCTGCAGGATGGTTTGAGGTCATGCTTTCAGGGCACTATCTCCTCTCCTCTGCAGAACAGAACTGGGGACTGATCTAAGATCAGCATCACACCTACATCTTGCAGTCCCTTCCACACACTAATGACCAGTGAGTATCAGAGAAGAGTTTACCGATATTTTCAAGATGCATAACATTTCATTTTATATCAGGATCAAACTAAACAGCAATCAACTACTCCCACAGGCAGAACCACCACGTCAAGTCAGTCTTACAAGAATGCTTTCAGAGACCACAGGACAGAAAACCTTTCCTCAGCCAACAAGGACAACTCCTCAGTGGAATTTAGGCTGTTGTAATTAGATGTTGATAATTGCAACATGTTCCCTGGCATGCTCATTGCATTGCCTCTTCCACAAGTGTGGGTCACACAGAAGGCTCTCTGAACCCCACAGCTTCATCTGTAGCACAGAGTTCTGCTCTACGCATTTCTTTCCTTCTCCTTCTCAAGTGCCTGTTCTTTCAGTTGGTTGACAAGTTCCTCAGCATACACCTTGAAGAGTGGGACGGGGTCCTGAAACAAAGAGGACATTAAGCTACTTTGAAAGCCTGAACCTGAGCAGCAGCTGGTCTAGCAAATGCTAGGAAGGTGCCCAACTGCACCAACCCTACTTTCACACGTGCTAGCAAACTGTGCATCACTCATCCAGTCTGCAGCCTGACAAGGGCAACAGAAAGCAGCTGGGAAGTACCAGTTATAGGTGCAGGAAGAAAGAACACCCACAGTACTTCATCTGCAATCTCTGATGTTGGTGAGATTCATGAATGCCTCATTTAAGACAAGGGCTTTTTCCCCTGCATGCAGTTGGGTCCAGACAGCCAGTGCTGTAGGAGTGCTGATGGTTAAAACCAGTGGAAGTATATGAACAAAGCAACTCACTATGCTACTCTTCTACCTACAACAGCTGTTCAGCTCTGTAAAGCGGCCTTAAAGATTACAGGCACCTGTGTGGGACATTCCTCAGCTTTTCTAGTTTTGCCCATCCATGCGAATCAACAGCAGCTCCCAGGGGCCCCTTTCCTTCTCACAACACCTGCCCTCCTTCTCCTGTTACCCCAGATCAGGGCTGCTCTGAAGCATGTCAGAAGAACATACTCTTTGAAAAAGCTGGAGCCTTACACAGTGCAGGGCCCAGCACACTCATTAGGAGCAAACAGGTCTTGGGGAAATGTCATCAAGAGACCCTACCCCACCCCAGGGAGGCCCGTGGCATCAGCAGCAATCTGGTGTGCCCTCCTTGACATGTTGCTTCTAACAGAGCTGCTGTAATCAAAGGTCACAAAACCGAGTCAGCCCTGAACATGCATCCAAGTTGTATTACAGAACACAACCAAAGGCAAAGATGTTTGTGTCAACAGAAGGAGAATCATCCCCCACTAAACATCCATCCCCTGACTGGAGGATAAAATCTTGCAAAGGATTTGAACACAGCACCATCTTTTGAGCTCCCATATAAAACTGGGCTCAAACAGCTGCTCAGGAATTTTGGAGTGCTACTTCCTTTGATAAGAAGCACTCAGGATGCTCAGATCAATTGCATGTGCAGCCCAATGCAGCTAAGATATCTCTGTGCTTGCAGGACAGCACTGCCTCAGAAACTCACCTTTTTTTCTAGAAGCCTCTGCTTTTCTATTGCTTCTTCTAAACTCAAGCCAACCCATTCAGCTTCCTCTTCTGGAATCACAAATTCCTGCAAAAAAACAGGTGGTATAGTGTCTTCCAGGTGAGTAACATGCAAATCCCCTCCAGGCCCACTCACACAAATGACCGAGTAGGAACATTACCACAAATAAGCCTGAAACACTGATCCCCTGCTCATTCCACTTCCTGCAGCCAAAGTCCTGCTCCCTTTTCTCCTGTTCCCTTTGCAAGTAAATACACTGTCATGTAAACTGCTCTGCCTCTCTTCTGAACAGTTCTGTAGCTGCTTCTCAGCACAACGCCACAGACTGTGGAAGTCAGTGCTGTTTCTATGCCAGTGCCCATCATCACTTACACAAAGTGAAACAATGGCACCCAGATAGACGGGAGCCCTGCCAAATTCCTGCCTGCTGTAGGCAGTATGTGCTCCTACCAGTGCTTAGTGTGGGTTCACACCAAAAAGAGATGTTTGTCTTGCTACTGGTCAGTAAGAAAACTACAGCAACCCACAGGGAGATGAGAAACAGCTGGCGAGATGTTTAGATCTTCTGCAGCCATGCCTATCACCCTGAACAGAGAAGAATGAGCTCATCTGCACTGCAACACAGTGAATAGCACAGCACCAGTGGGGATAAGCAGCGGACATCGCTGCAGCACCAGAACAGGGATTGCAGGCAGCAGAGCCAGGACCACAGGCTCAATACAGACCTGGTACTTGTCATAAATCGCCTCTCTCTTGGCTGGGTCGTCAGGATGCAGCTTGGGATCCCTCCGTGCCAGTCGCAGTAGCATCGTTCGCTTCAAATCCATCCCCAACTTAGAGCACATATCTACTTTTGGGGTCTGGGGAGAGAAAACAAATTACACTGACAGGCACAGGGCAGGAGCTACAAAACACACAGCCGTATCAGAGCAAGCAGAGCTGTCCATGTGCCTGCAGGCCCCCAGGATGGACACACAGAAGAGGAGTCCCTCAGCCACCCCCAGAGCCCAGCAGGTGCAGCTCTCGGTCCAGGGGCACAGAGGGCAGTCAGGGTCGTGCCTGGGCCTTGCCTTCAGGATGTAGAAGTCAAAGCCGTATGCCTGGTCGATGAGGTCCAGCGTGCGCATGGTGACGGTGATGGTGAGCTTGGCGTCCAGGATCTCACTGTAAAACTGCCGCTCGAACAGCTGCGGCTTCCAGATCTTCGGCACCCGCGTGGAGAGCTGCGGACAGGCGGTCAGAGCCAAGCTGAGCTGAGCTGAGTTGAACCGAGCCGAGCCCAGCTGGCAGCCCGAAGGCGGGGAGGAAGGACGACCTCACCTTATCATTGTTCGCGTAGCGGAAGCCGCGGATCCAGCCCTCGCCGCCCCACAGCCCCTCGTCAGCGGCGCGCGGCAGGAATACGGGCACCGGCACGTCCTGCACGCGCTCCCGCTCCCCGGTGCGCGGGTTCCGCCGGTACCGCACGCCCAGGGGCCGCCAGTGCACGGGCGTGGGCTGCGTGTCATCGTTCAGCTGCGCCAGGAAGTGCGCGGGCAGCCGCGCGCAAATCCCTTCCTGCAGCCGCAGCTTCGGCCACAGCCTTGGCGGGACCTTGTGCAGCGGCATCGCCGCCGCCTTCCGCTTCCGGTCCCAGCGGCACTCGCGACCGGAAGCGAAGGATGATGCGGCTTTCCATTGGCTGGCGGGACGGCGCTGAGGGGGATGGGCCGACGGTGGCCGGCGAGGGTCGATCCGCGAAAGCGTTCGCACGGCGCTCCTCCCACCTCCCAGTACTCACAGACGCCCCGTACACAGTAAGAGCGCGATTCGAGCTTGCCCTCAAATACCATTACGTTTATTAAATTATAAAATCAGAAGCTTTAAAATTTACCGTATAAAATAATCACAGGTATGAACAGCGAAGGAAGAAAAAAAAAAACACCCAAAAAAACAAAAACAAAACAAAAAAAAAACAACCCAAAAAAACCGAAAATCGGATTTCCTCCGACTTGACCCGAAATAAAGAAGGTAAAAGCCCTCCCCGGCCAACGCGGCTCCAGCACCGCACCAAAGGCCGGAGGAGGATTATTGCTTCGGTCGGGCGGCGCAGCACCGCCGGGCGCGGCGGGACGCGGGGGGCTGCGGGCACCCGGTGCGGGGACGGAACGATCCTGGAGCCCTGCGTGTGTGTGTGTGTGTTAGTGAACACAGGGGGACGGGGGTGGCCCTGAGCACCTGCAGGCAGTCGCTGCACGGCTGAGGTTGGAGGCAGCTCGGGGTCACTGCCGCTGCGCCGCCCCAGCAGAGCCGCCCAAAGCAGGGCGCAGCTCCGAGGAGACCCCGCAGCTTTTGGGCAGCCCGTGCCAGGGCTCCGGCATCGCACAGCACAGCAGTGCTGCCCGACGGGGGCTGCCGTGCTCCGGGTTGTGCCCAGAGCCGTCGCTGAGAGGAGCCCGGCTGTGCCCTCTTTGTGCCCTCTCTTCAGGTATTTATGGGCAGGGATGAGATCCCCTGAGCCTGCCCCAGCTGCACAGCCCCAGCTCTCACCCTCTCCTCCCGAGAGAGGTGCTGCAGTCCCTTCAGCCTCTTGGTGACTGGACTGTCTCCAGTACACCCAGGGCTCTGTTGCACTGGAAGACCCAGAACTGGATGCCACGCTCCAGGTACAGCCTCATCAGTGCTAAGCAGAGGGGAATGATCGTTTCTCTGGACCTGCTGGCGCTACTCGCCTGATGAAACCAAGAACTGTCAGCTTTCTTAATGGCATGGACACACTGCTGACTGTTGAACAACCTGCTGTCCACCAGGACCCCCCAGGGGCCTTTCCAGCTGGGCACCCCCAGCATGCGCTGGTGCCTGGGGCTGATCCTTCCCTGGTGCAAAGACAGAGGCTGGATTAAGAGGCAGACCAATTAGGCAAAGACTGGATTAATTGCAAGAAGTTAAAGTGCAGAGCTGAGCAGAATGCTGGCTGCTACTGAAAGCAAAGAAATAAATGTTTCCTATAAACTTGGAAGTGTTATCCTTTGTCAATAGCTCTTTCCTCCCCAAAGGATAGCTGGCTTTGCAGACCAGTTCTGAGCAGTACACACACCAGCCAGGAGCAATGCATTGTGAACCTTCACCTTCCCCAGTTAGAAAGATTAAATACACCACACGTGGTGTTTGATCCCAGAGTGGGAGGATATGCACCAATTACTGGGGTCACAGTTGTATGGAAATTAGTCAGCTTGCAGAGAGCCAGACCACAGGCTGCAACAAAAACACATGAACATCAGCATCTTAACTATCTTAACTCTAGCATAGAAAGGAGACCTTTGTACAGTCCTAAGCTGTTCTCCCTCAGCCATCCTCCATGGCTGGAATAAACAGGCAGAGAACCATGTATTTGAGCCCTTATCTATATAATAAGGATGGGCAAAGACTACTTTCCTAATTGCCAGTTCTGTTTCTGGTCTTGCTTTCTTACATCTCAGTGCCCTCCAATAAGGCTAAGGTGAGACAAATGACCCCAAAGCGACTAAAGCTACCTTGGGAATTCATGGAGGTGGCTCTTGGAGGGACTGAGACACTGCCAATGGCCTGAGAGCAGCTGTGACTGCAGCACTCTCAGCCTCTCAGCCACAACTGGCCAAGCGCAGGGGTGGCACAGCTCCAATGTGATGGATGCTGTATGCAAGCACAGGAAAGGTGCTGGGTGCAGCACACTTTCAAAGCACATTAACAAACCTGCCATAAGACCATACTGTGCTCAGATGACTGCAGGACTGAAGCATGCCTTCAAGCTGGAGCTGCTCTAGAGCCCTGAGTTCCAGCTCAGCACAGGTTGACCCCAACACAGATACAGAGTGAACTCTTGCTGTCCAAAGGTGCAGGAACTGGGGGTAGTGTAACTAATTTAACTTGCAAGTGAATTGCCACAGCCCACCAACAACCATGCTGGAGTCCTTAGAGACATTGCCACCTATGTTAGGCTGGGCAGAGCTCCTGTACCCACAAAAAAAAGGAAGACAGCAAATACCTGAACATGAAAAGAGGAAGGGGAACTGTACAGTAGCCTAGCTCCTTCCAGATGAACTAAAAGGGACAAAAGGAAAACTTAGACTAAACTCGCACTGCTATGTGTTTCACAGTTCTGAGGCAGATGCTTCCGATGCTCTTGCATACGCCCACAATTTTTTCACATTCTTGGAAAGTCTGATCCTAAAGTTAGGGCCCAAGTTCGGGTCTTGTTCATCCCCTCCAGAATCAGGACTAGGTAAGAGCAGCATCACTTTTGTTTCACAAAGAGAGGGGCTCTAGACTCACATAGGATACAGCAACTAAGGACCCAGGGCATGCTGAGATCAGCTCCTCCCTTTTAGCACCAAGAGCACTCAAAAGCATCTACCTCTAGGTCAGGGGCAGAAGAAGTCTGTTCTTCTCCTGACAAAGCAAATTTTGATTACAGGATAGCAGGGGAAATCTCTGTCCCACAGAACTCTGCTAAGAGAGTGAATGCAAGGAAGAGTCCTGCAGTTTCTGGCTCCTGGGCAGCATGGGCTGAACCCAAGCCTTATTGATACAGTAGAAAGGGAAGATGGGTTGGCAATTTCCCCCAGGGCCATGGGGGAGGTGGTGGGCAGACTACTCCTTGATTTGGAACCACGAAGAGCCTGCCCCATCCCAGCAGAAAAGCGGAGGGGGCCTCAAACTTGCCTTCACAAGACAAGCCCACCGTCTTCATCTTTATATCCAGTCTAGATATCTGTGCTGCCCCAGACAGTGAAAGAGCACATAAGGTAGCCCGTGTGCTACAGAGGGGCAGCCCAGGCTGGCCTGGCAAAGAGCAACCTTACCAGCCCTTCACCTCTGGGACACGGAGCCAAGCAGTTCAGGTGACAGCATAGAGCTCCTCACGGTCATTCTGGCAGATCTGATAGCGACATGTGAGCTTCTGTGACCAGGCCCAGGGCTTCTTATGCTTGTCCCGAGGTGGAAGCAGGAAAGCAACACTGCCAGCCACCAGCACGTGCCAGATGCTGTGAGTGTAGTAATAGTTCTCATTGGTTTCCATGAACGCATATACTGAGATGGCGATGAAAGCCAAGGTGATCCCTGGGAGGAGGTAGAAAACCCATCGCTTCCACGAGGAGGGGTAGCAGTGTCTGCGTTTCACTCCGTGATAAACCTGGAGGTGTGAAAGCACAGAAGGGTTAAAGTTTTCACAGCAAGAGAGTATACCTCTGGAAAAATTCAGTCTCCCTCCATCTTGGGCTCATGTGCAAGACCCCGCATCCAGATGTGGCACCATAACCCAGCAGGCAGAGGGCAATGCTGATACCACAGATCCTGTCCAGGGCATAGGCAACAACCAACCATTCTGACACGACACTCCAGCCACCAGTGCGATCTGAATTGGAGCTGCAGCTGCAGGGATCCATAAGCAGGGGATTTCTCACATATTGGAAGGATGGGAGGTAAATTCCTTGCCCTGCACTCTGTCCAACAGGGTGTTTCAAGAAAATCAGGTCTGTGTTTGGATGGGTTGGCATTTTCTCTGCCACCATTTTCTCTGGAGGAGAGCAAAAGGCAGCAGGTTATCTGCCTGTCATTACTTACCCATGCTGAGATCATGATGATGAGGGCAAACAGGCAGGGACCCATCATGTTCCACACCCCTCTGCGATCCAGCTGCAGGGACATGGCGATCAGAAGTGACCCCAGGACAAAAAGAACCTATGAATGAGAGAACACCACTAACATCAGCAGCTTATCCTCTGCCACCGCACGGCTGGCCATGCCAAAGGCCTAAAGCAGAAAGAATTTTATTTCCTGGTTGGCCCAGTCCTGTGTGCATGCACGATTCAGGAGCACCGCCTTTAGAAGGAGAAACTAGAGGATCCACAAATCTTTCACCTCAGCCCCTCCAGGGCCCAGTACCTACAAACAAGCATTCAGGTTCACAATGCAAGGTCCTAAGATAAAACAACACTGGGTTAAAAATTAGAGTGGCGTTAGAGTGGATGACAGTCTTGTTGCCTAGTCAGGCTATCTAGGGAACCCAGCAAGCAGCAGAGAAGCTGCTGTATGTGCTGTGTTACCGAAGTGCTGCCACAAGAGGGCACAGCACGGCCACCTGTGGCTCGGCTGGCTCACGCCTGGCCCTGCAGCACAAGAGTACCCACAATGAAATCTTGCACTCACATATTTCAGAATCTTCTTCACCCGGGACATGCACAAAATCGTCACCCAGATGGACACCACAGAGCCCAAGAAGTCACAGTACTGTAGTGTGTCGTAGTCCATAATGCACATCACTGCGATGCCTGGCTGGTCACATGCATGGTAGAACTGGAAGAAAAACAAAGGCTAACATGAATCCAGCACAACACACAGCTTTATGTAAAGAAGCAGAAGAATTTTTAGCCAGGATCCCTCCTGGCAGTACTCCCAGGAAGTTCCACTAAAGCAGCCCAGCATTGCAGAAGGCAGCTGGAGAGCAACCATCAACCCGTACCCTCCCAGCATTATGCTGGGTTCTTATCTCGGTTCCCTGGGGTCCACTCCCAAATGGGAGCACCTGCAGCGTGGGTAGAAGAACCCAGTGCAAGTAACACTTTATTCAAGCTCTGAAGGGGCACGACATGTTCATGGAGGTGTATGTCCAATATCCTAGAAGCATCTTGTGGAGCTCCGGGATGGACTGCTCCACCAAAGCCTTTAGTCCAACGCAGCAGGCATTGGACTCAATGCTCCCCAAATTCCTGATGCTAATGGCAAACTGGCAGGAGACCTGACAAAAGTTAATCCGTACCGTGGAGAAGAACATGGTGTAGGTGTAGACTGAGGCCTCCACCAGGTAGTATCGATAAACAGCAACCGCTATTGCTGGCAGGAACATGAGGTTACTCAGCGTGAGCAGGAGGGTGGCCAGGTTCTGTGCACCAACAGACTGGGCCTTGGTATCGTCTGTGCAGCTCCACCCGCTCCAACCTGCAGAGCAGAGAGGTCTGTGTGGATCTCATGGCTTACCCTGTACTCCTGCAGAATGCAGCAGGAGCCTGGAACACTTCGGAAGGTGTTCTCACCCCAGAAATATCTTGAGCCTTGTCTCCACTACCCTAGAAGGCAGCACATCAGGAGGAGGAAGGACAAACAGATGTGACCCACTGGGAGCCCATCAGACACCTAGCATCTGGGGCAGCTCGCAGACAGACTGCTGTTTCACTGAGGACCCAAACAGTGTTTACACTAAGCAGCTGACTTGTTTTGATGTTTGCAATTGCTGTCTAATGTGCTCTGCTGCAGCAGCCCTGCTTGCTAATATGCTCTGTCAGCCACTTTAATTTTAATTACTTTTTTTAAATTCAAGATTAGGATGTCCATGCTCTCCTTTTGGAGAAAGGTCAATCACAGGGCAGCCTGGGTACATGCAGGCACTCCACAATCATCAAGAAGAGTTAATAGTAGAATCCATCCCATTAAAATGCCATGAGAATCAAACCCAGCAGCTCTGTCCCCTTCCCCCTGCTGTCCCTGCAGAGCCCACAGGAGGCTGCTCTCTTTCAGTTTATTTCTGGGTCATGAAAATTCAGCTGGGGCATTTTGCTCCAAGTGATTCAGCAGAAAGCTGTCCTCAGCCTGATTCCTCATTTCCCCTGGGGTGCTGTATGCTTCCCAGAACATGGCACGCTTTGAGGAAATTAGGATGTCATTCTCTGTCACAATCCAAGCCTAGCAGCAGAACTGCACAAGACAGCAAGGGTGTCCTGGACCAGGTCCAAAGCAGCAGTGAACCACGTTTCACCTTGCCCTTCTGCTAAGAACAGATACAAGGATCCATCCAGGCACAGAACAGCTATCATCTTTCCCAAGCTAGTGACCCCTGCCCAGTTCTCTCATCTCATTATAATTAGCAGCTGACACAAATGTGCCTCCTCCAGGGGCACCTCTGAGCATAAGGGTTGGCTTGCATCCTGGCTCTTGGCACGAGACAGAGCACCACAGCAAATCACGGAGATTGCCAGCCCGTCTCATCACATCCTGTACCAGGACACTACGTCATAAACTGCCCTGAGAGACACAGGTTCTGATGCTGATACTTCCAGGCAGCCCTGCCAGCATCCTGATCTCTTTGGGGATGCTCAGAAGCACATCTCAAGGCCACTGGGGACTCAAAGCTGGGGACTCAAAGCTGGAAGTAAAATTATCATTCAGTTGAAAGTTGTCTTTAGCTTGATTTACTGTTCCCCATGTGGCGCTTCCCAGAATCTGACACTCCTCAGGGAAATCAGGACACTGCCCATAGAAGGCATCACTGGTACAGAGGGCACTTTGGGCAGGCACTGTGATTCCAGGCTGTGACAGCTGTGACAGTCCTGACTCTGCTGTTTAAACAACATGGAAGAATGTGGCCTTCCCTTGGGGGAAGATAGCAAGGCCTCATAGGAAAATGCACTCACCAGCTTTACAGCTGCAGCCAGCATAGAGGTAGCCGTGTCTTCTCAGGAGGCTGCACTGTCCATATGGCCCACAGTCATTGAAGCAGGGGGTGAGGTATGCTATGACGGTCACTTTGGCTTCTGCGGTGTTACATTCACTGCAATTACAACAGGCTGTTGGTACCCTGGCCATTCTGGGCATCCTTGTGCACAGAAGTACTCTGCTTGAGGGATTCTGAAAGCTCTTGGCCTCACTGTGCCCTGCCATCAGGCTGCTCCCACTCGCATGAGCTCTCTCTGATTTCAGCAGAGGGACCCTCACACCTGTGGATCTGCTTCATCGCTTCCAAGAGAAGAGACTCCTTCTCTACTCAGACTGCCAACCCATGTACAGGCAGGCCTCAACTCTTCCACAGACTGCTATAACAGTCTCAGACTCTCATGACTGGTCCTCAGACCCAGCAATTGACAGCACCATTCTACAGAGCATGCTTGGCTCCTTATACAGATGAATCACCAGGAAGGCAAACTGCTAGACTATGAGAGCAACTGCGTGCATTTCAAAGACCCCTTGAGGAAGTAACAGCATTCTGATTTACAACACTGCTCTCTCCAATTTATCACCTCAACACGCATCTGGGAAAGCTCATGCAAGCAGACTCTGCCACCCACATGCAGTCAGCGTGAGACACAGTAGGTCAGCACCAGACAAGCTGCTTGAGGGGCTTATCAGAGAGCAGCACTGCCACTCACCTCCTCCCTTCCCCTCTGTAGCCACTGCCTTACAGTTACCACACGTACTGAGCCTGCAGCAGAAGGCAGGACAGTGGGAGGCATTTGGTGTTGCTTATGTGAGACAAGGGCAGCAACACCAGGAGGTACAGTGCTTTGCCTCAGCCTCAAGGCTGGATAACACACCAGACTCACCTCTGGCCCTTTGGGCAGATGAGCTGTAAGGAAAGGAACCAGTCATCTGTCTGTGGGTACAGGACAATCAGCATTGCTTCCGCAGAGGACGTGCTCAGACTCAGAGGGTAGCCCTGGAAGAAAGCTTGAAGAGAAGAGAGTGCTATGCCAGAACTTGGGGAGAAGGGCCAGCAGCAATCCTCGGCTGAGACCAGCTGCACAGAAATCAGATATTCCTACACAGGACACTGGGATGTTGAAAGAACCTGCCTGGACAGCACAAGGCACATGGAACAGCCTGTTTGCTTTCCTCTGGGGAGGCCTCGCTGCGGCCTTCCAATATTTGAAAGGAGCATATAAACAGGAGGGAGAACAACTGTTTACATGGGTGGATAGGGATAGGATAAGGGGAAATGGTTTTAAATCGAGACAGGAGAGGTTTAGGTTAGATATTAGAAGAAATTTTTTCACACAGAGGGTGGTGAGGCACTGGAACAGGTTGCCCAAGGAGTTGTGGATGCCCCATCCCTGGAGGTATTCATGCCAGGCTGGATGTGGCTCTGGGCAGCCTGGTCTGCTGGTTGGTGACCCTGCAATAGCAGGGGGGTTGAAACTAGGTGATCACTGTGGTCCTTTTCAACACAGGGCATCCTATGATATGATTCTATGATTCTAGTCCTCCAATGCAGAGTTCAGCTTCTCTGCAGTAAGGTCCTGACTAACCCCAAACCTGCCAACAAGACTACAAGAGTCTCAGTTGCTAACCACAGTTATGGTTTAATTGATGGAGCCTGGCTCCTGGTTCCAGATTAGCATCCGCACCCTTATACTGGGCACTTGCCAGAACTGAGTGATGGCAGCCTTAGGAGGGCTTGTGCCAAAATAATCTTCCCCAAAACACCACACAAAGGATTTGAGTCAGTTAGCACCTCCTAAAAGCAAAGATCTAAAAGCTTAGTCCTGAGATTCTGTAGCTGAGCTGGTGGTGATTGTCAGTGGCTCTCATACCTGTGCTGCAGTTCTGCGTGATATTGAGAGACAGCACCGGCGAAGCAGCACTCACACATGCAACCACAGTGGCATTGGCCTGGCTCAGCGACGTCTGTGCAAACAGAAAAATATCCCAATCAGAGCACTTCAATGCCACCTCCCACAGCCTATTCATCTCTCACACTGCTCACAATCTATGGGAGCAGCAGGTGATAGTAAAACCTGCTGATCAAAGTCATCCATCAATTTCCCAGCTCTTTCTGGGCCAACCTGCATTCACCTCACCCTGCCCTGTCACTGCATTGTATTTTTTTTTGCTGAAAGGCACAGGAAAAATGTTTCCCAGGGAGACTCATGGCTGGAAATGCCTCCCAGATGGAGTATTTACACCAGCACATCACTTCAGCACAAATTCATGGTGGTAGAAATAGGAGGCAGATGGACATCAGGGCTGAGCCGTGCTCCAGCTCACTGGAGGGCATTAACTAGCCCTTGCAACAAGCTTCCTACACACGCTTTCAGAGAACTAATTTCTAAGTGCCAACAAAGGAGTTGGGAATCAGTGACTCAGATAGGAAATCCCTGGGTTTCCCTATCAGTCTGCTCTCCTGGCAACAACACTCTAGGCTTCCGTGGAGGAGATGAAAAGCAGCTGTATCTCCATTTCCTCCGCCACCACATTCTTGTGAGGTGGGGCATTTGAATTGGAACTGGCAAGCAGTAAATGATGTAAATACCAAAAACAGGACAAGAGGGCTTTGCAACATCAAGAAAGAAAGAGAAAGAAAGGAAAATAGTCTCACTGGTACCTACAACCTCTCGAATTTACCCAGGAGTTGGGACAAGGACAAGCACTGCAAAGAGAAGACAATCACATGAAGAAGCCTACTGCACCTTGTTAAGGAGGAGATTCACCACAAGGGAACCCCCGCTATCCATGCCACTGTTCAAGTTGAGGACGAGGAGGGTTGGGGAGATGGAGTACACAGCTACACTGGGACCATTCAAGAGCCTGTACCGCACAGACACCACATCCAGGTCCTCACGAACAACAGGCTGATTCTGGAGGCAGAAACTCCTCTGATCAGAAGTGTTGCGCAAAGCCATTCCTGTAGATGGAGTGGGACTCCCTGGTCCAGAAGCAGCCTGGCTCTGGTTTAGGCTGCTGAAGTTAAGGAATGAACTGGTACTTCCCGGTCTACAATCTGTTAAGCAGAAAAAGGGAGAGGAATCAGCACAGACTAGCACCTCAACAGGGCCCTAGTAACTTCAGACCTTCATGTTATAGCACAAACTGTGGGGTATTTCAGCTGGTTCAGGCACTTCAGAATTTGCTACAGACCCTGAAAGGCACCAACCTTTGCCAGGGAGACCCTAGTATCAGCATCCAAATGTGGGACACTGACAAAAGCCAGACAAATGGTACAGCAGGTGACAATATTCTGGAGCTGCTGAGAAACAGCTGGGAAGCAGAGGAACTGGAGAAGGGATAATACACAGCATCATAACACATCAGTGTACCCAGCAGACAGGGAATATTCACTAGGCATTGACTGAGCACAGCATTTAACCATCCCAGAAACAGAGGCTGCAAAAAAGGCTCTAGTTGTTTCTCAGCCCTGGGCATACAAGGCTAGGCGAAAGAGATAAGCTAACTCAACACCAGCTACAGGCACAAAACACGAAGTTACAGTGACTGGAACCAAACATGACAGTTAAATCTCACTGCTGGAGCCTGCCTGTAGTTCCCAGAGACTCTAATGCCCCTCTCTGCTGCCCCTCTCTAGGCTGCCAGTGCCAGGCCCTAGTCAAAGCATACTTCTAAAAATGCATCTAGCTGGTGAGCTCCAAGGTTCCAACCATCAAAACTGGGATCACTGTCATGTTACAGGACAACACAAAGGTGCCTATGACAGCCACAGGACCTTGTGACCTCCTGAGGCATGTGGAATTGTGACATGTCATTACAACCCAAATTACCCTAAGTAAACCTCCATGAGATGGATTTCTGTCTGAAGCCTGTTTATGGCCAATAAACAGTCAACACACCAATGGAGGCTAGTGTAATTCTGAGTAGATGCACTCCCCATGAGATTTTAAACCAGACACTGCTTTTTCAAACATCCTTTGGAAAATATCATTTCTTTGGAGATCCTAAACTTCTCAGGCATTTCCAAAACAGACAGGTCTTGGCTGAATATTAGAGCCTGCTCTTTTAACCCCGAGCAACAACTTGATCTTAGCCTCTCAAGATTATATCCAGGCAAACAGCAGGCTGGGGAACACGGGACACTAAGCCATTCACACAAAGGCACAAGAGACATAACAGACACAAAATTCTCTCTGGTCTGTCCCCCACATGGCTAGAGAAAATGGAAGCTCACCTGTGAAAGAAGCCAGCATCTCCAATGACACACTGGCATTGGCAGTACCAAGACTCTCCACCATGATCTGCAACCACTTCTCCCAAGGGAGTGAATCCAGGCTTACACTGCAGTTCACATTCCCTGTGCAGGTGATGATCCTCTGGAAGGACTGTGGCAGTGTGATTGAGCCCAGCACTACCCGCACAGCGCATGCTTTCCGCTCACTTGTCATGCAGTTTCGAAGCTCAAACCACATTCTGGCAGTGTACTTGGGAACAAAAACCCTGCAGGAAGAGGAACCAGCAACTTGCACAATTTGTACTCTGAACAAAGGGCAGCTACAGCCCACCACAGAGTCCCAGTGGCTTTGTGACAAGACCTAGAATGCCCTGATTTGCGTTGTGAATATCATTCCGAGGACAGGGGTCTCTAGGAGCTAACAAATTCCCATAGCCAAACCTTTAAGTCTACCTGCAAAGAGTCAGAGAAGGGCCCTCACGTGCGTTGCCCATACAGACCTCATCACCCTGCCACGTGGAGCTGGTTAAAGGCCCTCCAGTTCCAGAGCACAGTCCAATCCAGAATGGAAACAACAGTGGCTTACCCTAAGCAGCACCAGTGAGAAATCTGATCCTCCCACCTACAGCCCCAAGTGTTTCCAGCCGCTGCTCTCACTCACTTGACATGCAGTGGCTTAGCAGGTGAGACGATGGTTTGTGGCATGGCAACACCAGGCTCCAGAACAGGTATATCAGTGAGTCTAAGCACAAACATATCTGCCTGAAACATATAGGTGCATGGAGTGGAGAAACCCTGCAGGAGGGGAGAGCAGACTGGTCAGATGTGGCAAGACACACTGGACAGAGTATGCTGGCTGTATGAGATGTTCATCAGAGCCCTTACCTTCACTTCAATTCTGCCAGCGGCCTCGGGGAGATGTGCAGCAATGAACCAGTCTCCTGCAGCAGGGGTAGTGATGTTCACAAAGGTGGTGTTTTGCACTGTGCTGCTCAGAGTGATACTGATGTTATAGGAGGGACGGACGGTTGCGTTTGCAGGAAAATGAGTGCCCAGTGGATTAATTACAGGAGGGGCTCCATAGCGAAAGTGCCTTCAAGAGAAACCAGAATCCAAATAAAAAAGGGATGTCAATACACATGCAAGATAAACTGGAATATGAACTCATTAATAGATACCCAGGTTGGCCTGAGATCAGAGGGGGTGCAGGCTAGAAATAACCCACATTTTAAGTGGAGCACAGAGCCATCATTTTCATTCGGTGAGGACTGGCTGGCATTACCTTATCTTGGACTTATTCAGAGATTGATTTAACTTGGCTGCTTATTAAGATAAGGATTTACATCATTCCATCAAGCCTGAAAGCAAATTTCCGTAACACTTACTTAGGTTAAGCCCCCATCACAAAACTGGTTTTTTAAAAAACAAACAAACAAACAAACAACAACCATCAGCAAATTCCCTGTATAGCCAGCTAGGCTAAACCATCAATTAAGAGCTTTCTTTTTATAGCTAAGATCTGCGTCTTCCCTATTTCCTCCCCTAAGGAGGGCAGACAGATTAAAACACACTCACCAAGGAAGGCCTTTGTGACTGACTTCAGAACACAAGTGCTTCTGCTTTCAAGATAAGTATCTCAAAATTTGAAATACCAGAAAAGTAGGCAGCTACATAATACAGGAGGCATTTATTTAACCTTTCTGGGATGCAGAAAGCACAATTGCTTTGGATCCTCTCAAGCCCTTTGCTGCTCTGCCACATCCTCTGGTAACATGCACAGGATCCTAACAGGTACAGAAACATCCAGGAACACCTTTGTTTCTGAAGAGCAACAACAGCCTCACTGTGAAGCCCTCTCCAGAGTTTCTAAGGCCCCTCTTAGACACTGCATTTGACAGCTCCTTGATCCACTGGTAACATGAAATGCTCCAAGAGGTTAAAAACCACAGATGCAGTGCTAGTGTAACATTAAGAAATGATGCTTGCTCCAATTGGTGAACGAATTCACAGCCTCCTGTGAACAAACAACTCCAGTCGTGAGTGACAAGGACAAAGAAAAGATAAGAAAGACTGCATGTGCACACACTGCTGAGGGGACATACATACACTGTGACCTCCATGCTGGTGCACTCAGGTTCTTTCCCCCTGGATGCCTGCAGGAGCCAGCGAAGCAGCACGGTATCTTCTGGCACGTGGAAGTGGAAGACCTTGGCGTTCCCATACCAGCTGTAGAAGGACAGCCTCTGTGCACTCTGTGAGAAATACTCGGAGATGAACAGGGAGCCTGAAAGGGAGAGAGCACAGCAGCTGTTGGGGTGGCTGGGAGCAGGCTGCACTGCTACAGACACCCATGGGAGCACACAAGAATTTTAACGTCACTGGAGAGGAGCCCTTCATGTCCTCGATTTCTCAGCTCCGTTCCAATACAGCCAGAGAGCACTAAAAGAGCCTTAGCCAGCTCCACAAAACGCGGTGTGAAGATGACAGCCAGAGCCGTGTCTGGATCTTTTTGTGCTGAGCACTTGCACTCACTGGCCTAAGA